AATTTAAAAAAACTATTATTTGTAACTATACTTATATATACTAGATTTATTCATTAAATCATGACTCATACATTTATTATTCACACTTCTTTAAACCCTTTATAATTTATTTTAATATCCACACTGTACTTTCCTATTTAAAGGACTCTTCAATTGTCTTAAAAATACATTAGGAAACAAATGGCTGAAGTTCATGAAAACAGAATTGATGTTTTGACTTGCAATATTTGTCAAGTAATATTACTTTCTGAGTCCTGGGGCTTCTAAATTTTGTCATTGGCTTATACTGATGGCACTTTATGACAATTAATTGTGTGTGTGTGTTTGTGAGAGAGAGAGGAGAGACACAGAGAGACAGAGAGAGAGAGAGAGAGAGAGAGAGAGAGGGGTATGCTGGGTCTTGAATTCTGAGCTTTGACTTATTGCTGGATGTTTTCACTTATGGCTTGCTTTGCTTTCTATTATTTGAGCCAAGTTTCCAATTCTGGCTTTTAAGTGGTTAGTTGGTTTTTAGAATCTTCAAGAATCTTCAAGACTTGTCTTCTGAGGTTGACTTCAAGACACAGTTCTCACATCTTAACATGGAAATACTTGGTATCTGGATAGTGGTTGGATTTTGCAACATGTATTTGCTAATGTTTCTGTTATCCTGCCTTGACTGGCTAAGGTTTCTGTTCTGCCTTGGCTGACTTTCAACAATGATCCTCAAATCTCAGCCCCATGAGTAACTAGAATTACAGGCATGAGCCACCAGCACCCAGTTGAAGATATAACATTTCAAGAATACATTTGAAGAAAATGTTCTTATGAAACATTTTTCTTGAGGAGTCATGAAAATGTTTAATGAGAGAGAGGCAGTTTAGCAATGTTTTGATGTAAGAATGAGATAAATGGAAATCAAAGCTAAAAGGGTTATAAAACAGGCAAATGTGAACATTTTTCAGACTATAAGGTAAAAGTTAGTAGAGAAGGATTTGGAAGCCATTTAAAGAGATCTGGACAAGATAAGGTATGACTTACAGCCTCTTAGCTGGTGGCTAATTTGGTCATTATTTTGTCCAGTTGTTTTAATTTTGTCCAATTGATTTGATTTACTTCATAATTATTTTATGCATTTAACCTGGAATAAGTGACATACTCTTGGGACTCACTTTTGTATCACTCTATCATGTTACAAAATCCCCAAGTATATAAATATCCTGTGATATTTTATACATTCTTTCTATATATGTATATATGTGTGCATATAAATAATATATATGTATATATACATATATATGTATGCTTTGATTTTGGGTAGTTCAGCAAAGTGTAAGATATATAGAGAGGGGTTTCAGGATGATAGAATGATGACAAGCACTAGTTTACAGTATTCTCACAAACCAGAAAAGAAATCATTGGTATATGGCTGTGAGGAGTTGTATGAGAATTGATACTTTAGGAAAAGAAATAGTAAAATGACAGGTTAAGAAATTTTTTAAAACACAAATATTAGAATCTCAAAAAGAGTCTGAGTAATTCTTGCTCAGAGTTTAAGAGCCATTACTACTGTGGGATTCTGCTCTATCCTGAGACCATCCCAGTTCTTCCCTTTCATAAATGCTCTGTTTTGTTTTCCTTTTGGCAAGAGCCATCCCTAGGAGCTGTGTAAAAAATAGTTGAATGGTGACCCAAGTGCAGATTAAAAAATCATTTTCAAGCTAATAGGGAGAAGTTGAATACCATTTGTCCCCCAATGATCATCTGTTCTGGGGCTTAAACTCAGAGCCTTGGCTCTGTTCCATAGATTTTGCACTCAAAACTAGTGTTGTAATTGAATCACAGCTCCACTTTAGATTCTCAATAGTTAATTAGAGATGAGTTGAAAAGACTGTTCTGTATAGGCTAGCTTTGAACCACAAACCTCAGTTCTCAGCCTTCTGAATAGATAGGATTATTGTCATGCGCCACTAGTTCTTGGTAATATTCTTGATACTACCTGTTTGAAGACTTCATAATTTTAAACACTTTTTAAATTGTTAGTGTATGGTAAATTTTAGATAAATGAATAGATAACTAACAGTAATAAAATAGTATACTAGATAATAGTTTATTTCTATATTATCCATTTTGTAAGAAACCAATAAACTAGATAATAGACAAACTAGACAACAAAATATCAATTGATAGAAAGTGTATATAAACTAATTCAATGCAACTGTAAAATTTAAGTAATCTAGAGATAAAACATTGTCATTTATTTGGCTCATAATTTACTCATAAATTTGAGTACATATCACTAGCTGTGCAGATTCATGTTAATAAAGAGCTGGAATATCTTTCAAAAGTAAATTATAATGACAATAGCAAAATGGAAGGAAAATCTTTTTTATTGTGAAAATACTGTACAGAGGGGTTACAATTACATGGGCAAGATAATGAGTACATTTCTTATCAAGCATTGTAGCTTCCTCCTTCGCTTCCCCTTCCCATCCCTTCCGATCCTCCCCCCAACCCCCAACCCAATCCTCTCCACCCCCTCCCCCCCCACCAAAGTTGTGAAGTTCGTTTTCAACATAACAACTTGCACATCTCATTGTTGCAATGGGTCCACCTGTATCCCTATTTAAATGATTTGTTTTTCCCCTTCCCCTCTACAAATTATACCGACATCTGATATCAAATACAGTGAAAGCAGGGGTTATACTGTGGGGGAGGGACATACAAAGCAACAAACAAATAATCTTATAAATGTGTTAGAAACAATCGCATGAAAGAAAAAAAACATTTGAATACATATCTTAGGGTTAATTTCCCTAACATCACCTTATCTGACCTTTTCTGCTTGACTCAGACATATACTAGATATTGCAAATAAGGGAAACCATGGGACCTATGTTTCTTTGTGAAAACACTTGAGCCATATAGAACAGGTATGTTCTATCAAGTGCTGCCATAGGAAGATAGTGGGTTAAAAACTACAGTTATAGCAATTTTCTTGATAGTATTATCAAAGAATTGTAGTTTGACTCATAATCAGTGAAATACACACACACACACACACATATAAAATCTTATGCTTACCAAGTTGCTAGATTTTTCCAGAGTTCTATAGCAATGAATTTTCCTAAAGTACATATCAGTGTAGCTGTTCAATGAACACTTAGTATTTAAACATCACTGGTGACTTCTTTTTGTATTGTAAGATCACAAAAATCATATAAGAAAATACATTTGTGTGTATTTAGGTGAAATCATTTCCATTAATCTAAAACCACAAGACATAGCATTTTAAATTCTGACAATGTGTTTGCATGGGTAATGTGAAATACATAGCTATTTTATTTGGTAAGAAAGCATAAATTTAAGCATGTATTTATTGTGGCTAGGTGACTTTCCCTACCATATGACCAAAGACAGTTAACTCAAAATAAATGTTTGATTTAAATATAAAACAAATTCTATGATAAGTTAAAATGCTTAGTATTTCAACAAGAAAATGTGGACACTTGAAAGGTTTCTTTGATAAATTGATGAATAAACACATTCATCTAAACCATGGAACTATCTTCTAAGGAACAATTTTCTGAGTGCTGCAATTACCTCCTTGTTCCTAAGACTGTATATCAATGGGTTGAACATGGGGGTCACCACAGTATAGAAAAGAGAGAGCAATCTCTCCATTGTTGAAGAATTTAAGGACTTTGGTCTTAAGTAGGTAATGGTAGCAGACCCATAAAATAAAACCACAACCAGCAGGTGGGAGAAACATGTGGAGAATGCTTTAGAAGGTCCTCTGGCTTTTGGCAGCCTCAGAATGGTGGAAATGATTTTGCTGTAGGAAACAATGATTAATATGAAGGAGATGCCACCAGCCAAAATAACTACTACATAGACAGACAGTTCGTGCAGAGAAGTGTCCCCACAGGCTAGCCTGAGGATGGGGGGCATGTCACAGAAGAAGTGGTCAATTTGATGAGAACTACAGAAATCCAGAGCGAATATTTGACATGTTTGTCCTATCTGGATGGGCATACCACTGAGCCAGGAGCCAATGACCAGCTGAACACACTTCTTTGGGTTCAGGAGGAGAGAATAGTGGAGAGGGTTACAGATGGCCACATAGCGGTCATAGGACATCACAGCGAGGAGGAGACTTTCAGCAGTTGACAATACAAGGAAGAAGCACATTTGAATGGCACAGTGCAGAAGAAATATGGTCCCATCCTGAGTCCAAATGCTAAACAGAACTCTTGGAAGAATGACTGACACATAACAGATTTCCATGGAAGAAAAGTGTGCCAGGAAAAAATACATAGGCTTCTTCAGTGCAGGGTCAAATCTGGTTATCGTAATTATAAGACTGTTCCCAATTAAGATGATTAGGTAAACAATGGTGAACACCCCAGAGAAGAATGCTTGGAGACCTGGAAAGTCAGAGAATCCCAGTAGGACAAATTGCTTCAGTGTGGAGACATTGTTTTCAGTATTTACCTCTTCAAGATCCATCTGTGGGAATGATTTCATCAGACAGGCAAATCAGTTCATGGTCATTGCTTAACTCTGCATAATCTAAAGTTAGAGGTCAGTGTTGTTTTTTCAATTCTCTTTAGGAAAGTAAACATCAATTTTTGTTATCTAAAATTGTTTGACTGTAGAACTCAGTAATAGAAATCTGCACAGAAAACATGTGCCCCTTCTGAGACATGTGACCTAGAACGTTTATACAATGTTTATATGTTGTTTATAGGATAACATATTATTTTAAATTTGGTATTTATCTCAATTCCCAAATGCCAAAATCGGAATCAATTTTCAATATAGCAATGATTTCTTTCTTTAAGGTGGCATGAATCTGTCCTCACCATTTTTTCTATTTCTTCTTCTTCTTCTTCTTCTTCTTCTTCTTCTTCTTCTTCTTCTTCTTCTTATTATTATTATTATTATTATTATTATTATTGTATTTGTGCTAGTTCTAGGGTTTGAATTCAGGGCCTGGTCTGGGCTCTGCCCCTGAATTTCTTTTTTTCAAGTCTCCCATTCTACCACTTGAGCCACAGATCCATTTTGAGCTTATTCTGAGTAGTTTTTTGGAAATAAGAGTCATGGACTTCCCGGCTTAGATTTCAAATCTCAGCCTTCTGGGTATCCAGGATTACAAGGGTGAGCCATCAGCACTTGGCTTTTCTGTTATTATTAATTCAAAATTTATTTTCCTGTTCAAGTAAATCTTGTAGGTATCAACTTAAACTTTGAGATGAATGCAGTTGATCTTTTACCTCTATTGCTCTGCCTTTTACAATGTTTTTGCTTCGAATCTAGGCAAATTTAGGCAATTTTATTATGAGGAAATCATATCTAGAGCTAAATTATTATTTTTCTTAAGTATTAAAGTTTATTTCAGTATATGTAATATGTATGAAATATGTGGACATAATTTAGATTTTATAATGGGAGAGAACATGTTTTACTGTAAGATATGAAGATGTTTCAGGTTTAGGAAGTTTAAAAATCAATTTGAAAACAATGTATAGAATTGAATTACATGATTTTATTATATGAAATAAGCATTAACCACAGCTCCTCTCTGGGACTGCCTTCAATCATTCAACTGTTCATTTATAGTTGCTTATCCTGACCTCTTTCACTCCATTCAATCATTTGCAGTGTGTGCGTTCACTCAAGCTTGTGTGTGTGTTTAAGTGTGTGATGATTTATTGTCATTCTGTCTTTTCCCCATACTCATTACATCTTCCTTTTGGTTTTTCTCTATACCCATTACATCTTTTCTTTTGGTAATCTCTACATTTAATTTGCAATGCACAAGGGGCATATTGCCTCACAAAATTTGATTTATTCTATAATTGGATGAATATTAATGAGTCAAATACCATTTTCCTAGTCATTAATAGTCTTTCAAAGTCACAACACAGCCCCACATACAGCTTCATATGAAATAAAGCTTACCGGTGTGTCTGTTTGTCTGTTCAAGGAGATGCCTGGGTGGGGGTGAGGGCCTGTAGTTTCAAGGAATGAAGGGCTGTAGTTTCAGGGAGTGAGAGGCTGTAGTTTTATTAGCTTTTACCATAGTAGATTTCGTCTCATTGCACTGGCTGTGAGGGAAAAAAAATCCATAGTACATGGTAAGTAATTTGGAAGTTGATAGGGCAAAACCTGTTCAAAGAGAGTAAAGTCCTATGAATGTAAAGCTGATTGCCCAGAGGTCAGAAATAGACACCAATAGGGAGGTAGCATAGTGAACAAAAGCCAAATGGTTATAGCAAAACGTATTATTATAAATATGCATAATATTCATTGATTATAAAAATTCTCTCAATTACATTTGAAGTTCAGAGACTTTTAAAAAACATCGTAGTGGTAAATAGATGAAACTAGAGCAAATCATGTTGAGTGAGGTAAGCCAAGATCAGAGAGATAGGCGCATATGTTCTCCTGAATATGCCAATGCTTAAGATGCAAGGAGATATGACAAAGTAAACAGGAAGCAAGACGCCCTTACACAGGTTAATCTTAGGAGAAAAGCACCAAATTTTAATACACAAGCATCCCTTCATATTTATATATGATAACACACATATTGAAAAGAACTCCCAAAATAGGGAAACAAAGGACCCCTTCTTAGTTTTCCTGAGGATTTTTAGATGATTCTGTACTCTTTACCTCATATATGGTAAATGCACGTGCACATCTGAGGGAAAGTGGGAGGAGGGCACAGAATCAGTGGAAAGCCATGAAAAAGTCTGCACTGGGGCCCATCAGCTGCACTGGACATTGATGAAAGTGAACCATGCAACTCACGGACAGAAATGGGAGGGAGGGAATAGGAGAGAAGGAGGGAACAGACGAGACTAAGCAAAAGGAAAGAAACATACTTATCACCTGATATACGTAAAGGTAACCTCACTGCATAACACCTCTAAAACAACAATTATAAAAATACAATGTTGTAGCATGATATCATCGAAGAAGTGAGGACAGAGGACTGGAAGATGGAGTCAGAGAGAAATGGGGTGAAGTCTAATATTCTACTTAGAAGCAAGAAGTTCTGGCCTGGCATTATTACCCAGCCAAGTACCTAACACAGGAAACACTATCATGCGGTTATTTGAAAAGTAAAGCTGCGACAAAGGATTGTGAACTCAAATGACTGGGGCGATGAGGAAATAAATGGTCCAGGGTCTCTTAATTTACTCATTACAGGAGGCACAGCATGTTAAAAGATTCCACAGCGTCTTGCAATTGGAAGTTTTGCACATCCAGTACAAAGAAAAACAAAGCAAAACAACAAGTAGATACTTCTGCCAAACATGCTGTAATTGTTTGTGTAAAAGGGCCACAAATCAAAACCCAATAAATTACAGTACTTAGATGCTATGTAAGATGACAGGAAGATGCTCCTTTTGCTGTTCTCCTATAGAACGTTCATCACATTTTATCCAGTGCCCATCCATATTCAATCTAGACAGAAATACAGGGACAATAATCAATACCCCCCCACATCTTTGATAAGTAAAGTATAAGCAAGACCCATTCAGTATTTTGTCATTTACTATGCAAAATTGTGCTTGAATAAAATACTCTCCTCACCCTTGATATATGTATAAATAGATATTCAACACCTAATTATCAATCAATAAAATGTTAATATCTTATGATAATTATGTTTAACATAATGCTTACGTTTAATATATTGGTTCAATATGCAGCAAGAGTATATACTTTGTTATTATGTGAATTTACAATAAATGTAGGAAAGTAAAAAGAAATCTGACTTTACCAATCAATAATGTTATTTTTGTAAGCTTGATAAATTGAAATATTAGTTATTGATGCCAATCATACAAATGCTTATAAAAATAAACCTTTCTTAGACAAAAATAGTTCCTGCTTACTGATTTCGATGGAGACTTAATAGAACACCTTTTCATTTTTTTCCTGGTTTCAGACAAAGAAAAGAAAGGTGAATAAAGATTTCTTTTATATTAATAAATTTCCTTCATTTGATGTAGAAGAAAAGTTTGTCTGAAATGGATTCTCTTCTCAGAACTAATGTTCTTTATATACTCACAATTTCTTTCCCTTAGATACTCCTCATTGTGCAACAGTCTAATTGAACTGAATAATTCTGCATGCCATTTGGGAAGGTTAGTTCAGAGAGACAAAGAGAAAGAAGAAAGAAAGGAAGGAAGGACAGAAAGAAAGAAAAAAATCTATGTAACCATACTACTTCTCTTTAAATCTCCAGACTCCCTTCCATTTTTTAAATGATCATCAAAAATAAGATGTTGAACTACTTTGGAAAGCACTATGGAGATTCCTCAACAGACTCCATATAAAAGTCCCCTATGACCCAGCAATCCCATTTTTAGACATTTACCCAAATGATCACAAATAAGGCTATACTAAAGCTACCAGCACAACTATGTTTATTGCAGCATTATTTACCATAGCTAAGATATAGAACCAACCCAGATGCCCCTCAGTAGATGAGTGGATCAAGAAAAAGTGGTAAATTTATACAATGGAATTCTATACCTCCATCAGAAAGAATGACATTGCCCCATTTGTTAGGAAATGGAAAGACTTGGAAAATCTTATATTAAGTGAAGTAAGCCATGCCCAAAGAAACATAGGTCCCATGGTTTCCCTTATTTGCAGTAACTAGTATAAGTTTAGGACAAGCAGAAAAGGTCAATAGCTATGTACATATGACCAGATAAGATGATGTTAAGTGAGATGAACCTCAAGATAGGGACACAAGTGGATTTTTTTATTTTTCTGTTTTTTCAAAGATATTTAAAATGTACTATGTGATTTTTTTCTCTTGTATGCTCCTCCCCCACGGTATAACCCCTGTTTTCACTGCATTTGATATTGATACCCTGCATCTTGTATATATGTTTTTCTAATTTGGGGAGGGGAAGGTAAATAACAAAATGCTGAAACAAGGATACAGGTTGTCTCATTGTAACAATGAGATGTACAAGACATTATGTTGAAAATGAACTTTACAATTTTGGGGGGGGGAGGGGAGTTGGGATGGTGGGGAGGGAAGGAAAGGGATGGTAGGGGAAAAAAGGAGGAAAAACAATGCTTGACAGGAAATGTACTCATTACCTTGCTCATGTAACTGTAACCCCTCTCTACAATATTTTTACAATAAAAATACATAAAAATAAGATGTTGAGGTGTGGCTCAAGTGGTAGAGCACTGGACTTGATTGAAGAAATATCTGGGGACAGTGAATGTTCACAACAATACAATTACTTACTCTTTGCGAAATAAAAAATCACATGTTAACATGTGAAAACTCACTGCTTTAATCTAGGGAAAACAAGTCAAATTTTCAGCCGTTGAAGACACTGATACAAGATTTTTAGGGCTGTAGAGCCTATGCTTGGATCATCAGTGTGACTCTCGCTTATCCATACTTGCACTGGCCAGCAAGCCTCATTACTCCTCAGCAGGTGGAACCAAGGACAAGGACG